CGAGAAAGAGGAAGAGCGCTGTGCCTAGAGCATCGATTGCTCCCACAGAAGGCCTGGCGCCTCCAGTACCAAGGCAGCCCGAGCCTTTCGAAGGACCCCAGGCTCACGGATCACCACTGGCAGACATCACGGCTGTCAGCGTGAATGCGACGCAAAATGTCGAGGAGACACAATCCAACGTCAAGCCAATCAAGCCGTTTGATTCCATCATGGATAAGCCTCTAGATATCATACTCAAATCCCGAACCACAACAATCCCATTTATTGAGGAACCATCAACGTCCCCCAAGTCTCGGATTGTGTTGACTCATTTGATCTTGAACAACTTCAAAAGTTACGCTGGCCGTCAAGAGGTCGGCCCTTTTCACGCCTCGTTTTCATCTGTTGTTGGGCCCAATGGTTCCGGCAAGTCCAATGTCATTGACTCCCTGCTTTTTGTGTTTGGTTTCAGAGCCAGCAAGATGCGCCAGGGTAAAATCTCGGCTCTGATTCACAATTCTGCTCAGCACCCAAACTTGGAGTATTGCGAAGTTGAAGTCCACTTTCAGGAAGTCATTGATAAGCCTACCGGCCACGAGATTATCCCCAATTCGAAACTCATCATTTCTCGAAAGGCCTTCCGCAACAACACCAGCAAATACTACATCAATGGCAAGGAGTCCAACTTTACGACTGTCACGACATTACTCAAGAACCATGGTGTCGATTTGGATCACAAGCGATTCTTGATTCTTCAAGGAGAAGTCGAGTCAATTGCTCAAATGAAATCAAAGGCCGCTAACGAGCATGAGGACGGCTTGCTTGAATACCTCGAGGATATTATTGGCACCTCCAAATACAAAACTCCTATTGAAGAGTCGGCCGCCGAGGTCGAAACTTTGAACGATGTGTGCATGGAGAAGAGCGGGCGTGTGCAACATGTCGAAAAAGAGAGGAACAGTCTCGAGGATAAAAAAGACAAGGCTCTCGCGTACATACGCGACGAAAACGAGCTAACCATGAAGCAATCCGCTTTATACCAGCTTTTTATTCACGAATGCAATGACAATATTACTGTCACCGAGGAAGCAATCAACCAGATGCAAGCCCAGCTCGATGCAGAACTTGAAAAGCACCAAGGCAGTGAGCAGTTCATCAAGGACCTTGAAAAACAGTACACAAAGGGAACCAAGGAGGTTGAAACACAAGAGAAGCAAACCCAAAGCCTTGCCAAAGAACTAGCAAAGTTTGAACAGGAGCGCGTCAAGTTCGACGAGAAGCGCAAGTTTCTTGTCGAAAAGCAGAAAAAGCTCGAAAAGACTATTAATAACGCGCAAAACGCAACCAACGAAGCAGACGAAACTATTGAGGAAACCAAGCAAGATATTGAGACCCGAACACAAGAAGTCGCTGACCTCGAGTCCCAAGTCAAGATCGAGGAAGCCGAGCTGGCCAATATCCGAGAAAGCCTCAAAGGCAAAACTCAGGCTTTCTCCGATAAAATCGCAGCCAAGCAGAAGACTCTCGAACCTTGGATGGAGAAGATTAATCAAAAGCAGTCTGCTATTGCCGTGGCCGAGAGTGAAATGAACATCCTCAAAGAGAAGGCAAATGCTGGCGCTGTCGCAATCGAAGAGCTTGAGGGCAAGATTACAACCATCGAAGCGGACAAAGCGGCCAAGGCCAAGGAACTCAAGGCTTGCGAAAAGGAGAAATCTGAACTCCAGAAAGAGGCTGAAAAAATGAACTCTGAGCTCGCAATTTTGGCTCAGCAAGAGCCCAAGATCCAAGCCAAGATTTCTAATTCACGACAAAAGGCTGACGAAGCTCGTTCGAGTCTAGCAAGTACGCAGGCTCGTGGCAACGTTCTCACAGCTTTGATGCGCATGAAAGAATCTGGCCGAATTGATGGTTTCCACGGACGGCTTGGCAATCTAGGAACCATTGACCAAAAGTACGACGTTGCGGTTTCAACGGCCTGCTCCGCGCTCGACAATTTCGTCACCGAGTCGGTTGAGTCTGGTCAACAGTGCATCGAGTATCTAAGAAAGAATAACTTGGGTCGTGGCAACTTTATATGCTTGGACAAGCTCAGATCACGAGACATGTCTCCTATCCAGACACCAGAGAACGCACCACGCCTGTTTGATTTGGTCAAATCCAAAGACAAGTTCCGCCCAGCTTTCTACCACGCAATGCAGGACACATTGGTCGCCAACGATTTAGCCCAGGCTAATCGTATCGCATATGGGGCCAAGAGATGGCGGGTAGTGACCTTGGCTGGTGAGCTCATCGACAAGTCCGGCACTATGTCTGGCGGCGGGACTACTGTGAAGAAGGGACTGATGTCTTCCAAGATTGTTGCAGATATCAGCAAGGAGCACGTTGCCAAGCTCGAGGAGGATCGAGATCAATGGGAAGCCAAGTTCCAAGAGTTCCAAGAGTATCAGCGTGAATGCGAAGGTAAGCTCAAGGACCTCAACGAAAAAATCCCTCAGCTCGAGACAAAGATGCAGAAGCTTGGCCTCGAGATTGAAAGCGCTACACGCAATCTTTCGGATGTAAAGAAGCGTATCAAGGAAGTCAGCCAAGAGCATCAGCCATCAACATCCGACTCATCTCGTGTCGCCGCTTTGGAGAGGGAGGTTGCGAAGCTAAATGGGGAAATTGAGCAACTTCATGGGGAGACTGCCAGTGTGGAGGAAGAGATCAAAGCTCTGCAGGAGAAAATCATGGAAGCTGGTGGAGAGAAGCTGCGAAGCCAGCGTGCAAAGGTTGACGACCTCAAGGAGCAAATCAACTCTCATAACGAAGAGACGTCGAATGCGGAAGTCCGCCGAGTCAAGGCCGAGAAACAAAAAGTTAAACTTGGAAAGGACATGGCCAAGGCCAATAAAGAGTTGGAGAACGCAGTGAGAGAGCTAGAAAACCTTGAAGCCGATGTCAACAACCAGGGCGAGAAGTCGGACGACCTCAAGGCTCAGGTTAAGGAGGCGGAGGCGGATTTGGCATCAAAAAGGGAAGAGCTCAGGGCCTTCAAGAAGGAGCTTGATGCCAAGACAGCGGAGCTTAACACAAGTCGCGCCGTGGAGATTGAAATGCGAAACAAATTGGAGGAGAACCAAAAGACTTTGGCTGAGAATGAAAAGAGACATCGATACTGGGAAGACAAGCTGTCAAAACTAGTCTTGCAGAACGTTGAGGACCTTGTTGGTGCGCCCAGCCCTACCGAGCAATCTGCTAAAGCTGAGCAGCCCGAAAAGGAAGAAGACTCGTCGACATCCAACGAAGACATTGAAATGGCCGAATCTGAAGCGGAGGAGGCTGAAGATGCCAGCATGGTTGATGCCTCTACAGCAGAAAAGTCAACGGAAGGTGGTTCAAACAACCCACCTTACGAGCTGCCCAGATACACACCCGACGAACTGGCTGACATGAGTAAGGAGACCTTGAAGGGTGAGATCGCTGCACTGGAGGAGAAGACACAGAACGCCAGCGTCGACCTTGGGGTTTTGGCCGAGTACCGCCGCAGAGTAGAGGAACATGCGGCTAGATCCTCAGATCTGCAAGCAGCAATCAATCAGCGAGACGCGGCCAAGAAGCGTTGTGACGACCTCCGAAGACGACGATTGGAGGGCTTCATGGAGGGTTTCAGCGCCATCTCGCTTCGCTTAAAAGAGATGTACCAAATGATCACAATGGGCGGTAACGCAGAACTAGAGCTTGTGGACAGTCTGGATCCATTCAGCGAGGGTATCCTGTTCAGCGTGATGCCACCCAAGAAAAGCTGGAAGAATATCGGCAACTTGTCTGGAGGTGAAAAGACGTTGAGTAGCTTGGCTCTAGTCTTCGCCCTGCATCACTACAAACCTACACCATTGTATGTCATGGATGAGATTGATGCCGCGTTGGATTTCAGAAACGTAAGTCGACTTCTTCAACCAGAATGATGTAATGCTCCATGTTCTAACGATGTTTGACAGGTCTCCATCGTTGCCAATTATATCAAGGAGCGGACCAAGAATGCTCAGTTCATCGTCATCTCATTGAGGAATAACATGTTCGAACTTGCGGCTCGTTTGGTCGGAGTTTACAAGGTCAATCACATGACCAAGAGTGTTACTATTGAGAACAAGGATTATATCGACCGACCACAGCCACAACCACAACAACGACCGCAGGCAGGCACTGGTTTCACCACAACCCTGGCCCTCAGATGAGGACGACGTAATGGGAGATGAGAACGAGATTCTGCATGTTCTTTGTACATAATGGAATTTGGGAACTGGACTGGGTAGATATTTTGATGACGGGTCATGATAGCAAAGGTTGCCATGGTGTTTTATGTAATTTTTTTGGATGGCGGAAACGGAGCAATCATCATATTGAAACTATAGAGAGCGAGAGTGGATGTAATAGCCTATTTTCAACTTGCCTCTGTCTACATTCAGGGAGACGCAAGGCCACGCAGCTCGATTTCCGCTCTCAACAGGTCCTTGCATGTCGTACAGCCAGAGTCAAGATCCTGTTCCACCTCTTTGCCTTGGAAGCCGAGTGGCTCGAGTTGGAGATGCCAAGTTGGGATCTGAGAGTCACACTCAAAGTCGAGTAACACCCGTGGCGTTCATAGCCATGTGGGTGTTGCAAATATCAGACGGTTTGAGTGGCTGATGTATCGCTTTGCTTCAATCCAACGTGGTACATGGTTCAGCTGGGCAACGGCAGGGTACACCATCGAATAGCAGAGTACGGGATCTTCTCCCGAGACTCCATCGCTAAGCATACTCGGACAAGCGAGTTGTAATATAAGTCAGGCTCATCCTTGGCTAGCGAGCGTCGAAGATGGTGTACTCTGAAACTAAACCGCGAAATGAAGGAGGCGAGGAGACTCATTTCTAAACAAGTCTCTTGTGCCCCGATGGGAAATATATAATGGAATAACCAGCATCGGCTGGGCGCGACACTGTTGTCGAGTCTCCAACTTGGCTGTGTCGAATCGGCCTTTCCAGTCACTCTTTACCATGCGTTATTCCGCCATGCTTCTCTTCTTCATTCTCGCTCTTCTTCGCGCCGTTTCGGTCTTTGCGAGCAGTGGTGACATTGTGCTTGTTTGTACGAAAGACGCTCTTTACAGCTCTCTGTACCAGAATGGCCGGCAGTTTTGTTCGTCTGTCCTTGGCAAGCCGCCCTGTGAGGTTGTGACGCCAACGGCTTACGCGACATATGACCCGGCTGTGATTTCTTCCCGCGTATGTATTTCCTTGGAGAGTCTATGGTATGCGGCGTTTCTAAGTTGAGCATAGTGCAGCTGTGTGTTGACGGACAAATGTCTTCCTCGCCCGACGGACAGCTCCTCAACGACGACCCGAGGGGCCAGTTCGACTGTGTCTTCTACATCGAGCTCACATTTCAGTCGTAATAGGACTTGCTCCGACCATGCTACTTCGACTGCTGCAGGTGGGACGAGCTCGACTAAGTGTGCTGCTTCGCATACTGTGTCGTCAAGCTTGAACCGGACTACGGTAGATATAGATTCGACGGCGGTCTACACCTCCTCGTCAGTGTCAACCTCGTACATATATACCAATAGTTCTTCGAGCATTTTCTACTCAAATATAACCAGCTCAGCTTCACCAACGGCTACAGTGTCAAGCGTTCTCTCTGGAATAACTTCCAGCTCCAGTTCAACGCGGTCTCTCAACTCATCCACCAGCAGTGTCACACACTCGACAGATACTCAAAGCAGCTTTAAACCTTGGTCTTCATCACAGTCCAGCTCCGCGAACGGTACCTCGAGCAAGACTTTAATCTCGACAACTTCGGACAGTGTGACTGATTCGTGGCTGCTTCCAACCATTACTCTTACTCCGATTCCTAGTGCAAACATTTCAACGGTGCATTTGACACTTCCAGGATCGAGTTTGTTGTCCACTTCTCCAAATGCGAGTTCTACCGTCAACAGTACGGTTCCAGGGTCTCTATCAACGCATGATTCCACGTCCGGTAGCATTGGTTCTAAGACGTCGTCATTGCTTGTTTCAACAATCAACACGACTACAACACAAACTCTTTCCAAATTGAGCACCTCTGCGTACATCTCAACCTCAGCTTCCACTACTTCCTCGCCCTCTCGTCCAGTTGCCAATTTTACGCAAGTGACCCGTACAGCGGCAATCGCAGAGGAGACTTGCTACCAGTTTCCGCAAGATCCGGATGCCGGAAACAAAGATCGCAGCGCAACCCTGCATAATGACCAAGTCGCGGAGCGAAATAGTACGCTCCCTTCCCCATACATCGAGTCGGTATTCTTCGACTCGGCTGGGATCGATCCAATCTGTCTCGCGTTGTGGGACGCATTGAACGGAACCTACTACATGGACGTGTCCAACAGAAGTCGCGTATCTATCATGGACTCTCAAAAGAATTCGATGCTCATCGACGCAAATGGGATTCATTTCTCCACCAACACCTGTGCATTCGACGTTTCCATCACCATCCAAGACATGTACGATCAGTTGGAAAGTCTTTCGGGCGAAGTTTGCGCCAAGTCCATCTCTGGCAAGCGCTCCATGGAAGAGTCCAGCTTCGAACAAGTCCTTTTTCTCAAGGATCAATGCGGAAACGGCATCAAACGGGCCCTCCGGACGTATCCTACCCTCAGTGTTGGCGATTCGGACTGCATGGACACAGAGGTGGACTCATCCACAGGCAAGTGGACTTTTCTGTGTCCATTCCCTGGCTCAGATTCTGGAAATAGTAGGTGTCGCACCTCCGTAAACGACGACATTGTTCGGTTCTTGTTCACGGATCCATTCGGCGAAGCCTGTCCCGACCTGTCCACGGTGGCGACCACTCTCGCAGCAACGGCTCAAGATTTTCTCAACGAGCATTCCCTCAAAGAGGAGCTATATCAGCTACCTCTCAGTGGGACGCAAAAGAGCCAGGTTGACGCTACTGTCAAAAAGTACGGCCAACTATGGAATGTCTTCAAACAGGCCTTGGCCAAGGGTACGGCGGGCACGCCTGGCCAAGGGAGCAGCACACTGGAGCAATACATCAACATGTACAACAAGTATCGAAGTTTCGAGGGTGACATCTGCAACGACTTGCATGCTGGCGATCTCCCGCTCAACATGAGCCTCCGAGCTGGTGTGACTACAATAGACTCGATTACGTCGCTGAAGGCAGCGCCGGAAAATCCCAAGCCATTCAACATTACTGTTCAAGACTCGAATCAAATAGCTTGTTGTAAAAACGGTAGCAAGTCTTCGTTGAATAAGGCCCGGGGAACCTGCTCGTATCCAGAAAACGCCACTGTTGCGGATTCAGATTGTGTCTGTGGACAGACTTCTGGCGGTGACGCCGTCGCGTTTGAGTATATGGAGTGCGCCAACTTTGTGAGCCAGTGCACGTCCGATGATGATTGCGCAAAGGCGGGATATAAGACGTACAAGTGTCTTACTGGAAGTTGCTGCGGAGGAGGTGTTTGCTTTGATCCCTATGCTTGTTCGCAGAAAGGGGTACCGTTGATTTGAGTTGGTGTTGAGTCTATAGGGTATTCCAATCTATGTAGGCACTGTAGACGACCACTTGTTCGCCATTAATTAGATGCGTGTGCGCAATTTCAAACCGGAGCCTGTCCAATGTCACAAAAAGGTTGAGCCGAATATCTTTTGCATTTGACAAGCAAGACATGTTTTTCCTTTGGGGTCGGCTCTGAGGGTATACTGGACTGCCCAAACAACATCGCCAGCGAAGGAGCCTTTGCTGTACATATATGTTTTTCGATCCGGTAATCAACCGAACCAGCAAGCAGCCCAACTTGCAACATCAAGTAAAGCCAACTCAACGACAACAGCGCATCCATGGCGTGGAATTCGCAACACTACAATTAGCTCTCCCTCATTGCATCGATAAAGTATACCAGTCACAGTTCAAACGTGAAAGAGACGACAACACTTCACATCAACGACAAGAAACGTAGTCCGATTTGAATTTGGAATCTCCCTAGATTCTCAACCCTAGTTGTTCATCTAATCCTTTTTACTGAATGCAGACGTAAAACATCACCAGACTCCATCCCAATCATGAAACCCACTCAAGCCTTAGGTGCAGTAGGGGTGATCTTCTTGCCGTCCTTGTTGTAGCGGACACGCGGGGGGGGAGCACGGTTGCGGCGGCCCACGCGAGATCGGACACTGCCAAGCACAAAAGTCATGTCAGTCATGCACATCGTAAAGAAACGTACCGGGTCATTTGCATCATGGCGAATATGAGGGGGGGGAGTGTATCCAATTGCTGGTGTACGGCCAAGGTTCATCTGAAGCACATACGCCGAGGCGCAGTTGTCACACTCCCGGGAAAGACAACGTACCGGACAATCTTGCCGTGGATAGCGCAAGAGACGCAGTACTGCAGTTTCAGGTACATCTTGGGAACCGTGTACTCGGCGAAGACGGAGGCGTCCGAGATATCACCTGCCAAGGGTTGTTAGCACAAGTGCCCCTTTGAAAAAAAAATGGCACCAAAATCGTCTTCGTGTGAATTGACCAGAGGCAACAATCACACGTGAGATAATGGCGGGGATTAAACGTACGGATAGCGGCAGACTCAACCATGTTGCGGATGGTGAATCTCTTGATTGCCTTATCCTTGGGGGTGCAGCGAGAGCAGTTGCTGCATCGGATGGGCTTGACGTGGCCGCGGCCCTTCTTGTTGCGGCCGCTGGGATGCCGTTAGTAAATGGTCTGGAGAGAATTGCCCCATCGCGCGTCTCTTGTTATTTCGCGCGCAAAAGCAACATCCTCTCTTATCGAGAGCTTGTGTCCATTGGCAGCGAGGTGGTGACCCAGGTGGAGGTGGGGAGGATGAGGGAGAATTCGTACTTGTTCTTTCTCTTCTTGACCATTTTGACGGTGTCTGTTGCGAGTCTGTCAATACCAAGCAACGAGTTGTCGAGAGAGGTGCGGGTTGGACGTACTGGAATTGGTTGACAGTCAAAAAGATTGAGGATGATGTGCAAAAGTCACGGCTGGTCTCGCTTGCCAGTCAGAAAAGCCCCGGGGCTCCACACAACTGGGTAAATTCGTTTTACGGGCGCACAGTGAAGGGCAAGTGGTTGGCGAAAACCCTAGGTCATGTGACACTAGCTCGCCTCCCACTCCCCCCCAGTGGGAAATTTCTCAGCGTGCGGCCACTCCACTTGCAGAGCGTCTTTCTCACCATCGCAACATCTGAGGATTGCTTAGGACGGCAATAGGTCTATTGTCGAGGTACGTCTGAAAGATGCTGCATTTCCCATCGGCCTCAACGATGGATGCATCAACGATGCGTCCGTCTTGAGAGTTGAATTTCCATTTGCATTTTCTGATCCCCCGCTGCTTTCTTCCGTGATGGCCGCTGGTTTCAATATCACACATTTTTTTTTAATTGTTTGGTATTGACCGGCGGCCACGACGAGAAATGCACCACATCGCGAACACGCCACACTCAACCTCGGGAAAATATTGTCAACTCTAACCCGTCCAGTTAGGCAAGATGCAGATTTTCGTCAAGACCCTCACGGGGAAGACTATCACCCTTGAGGTGGAGTCTTCCGACACCATCGACAACGTCAAGTCCAAGATCCAGGACAAGGAGGGCATCCCCCCCGACCAACAGCGACTCATCTTCGCTGGTAAGCAGCTCGAGGATGGCCGCACCCTGAGCGACTACAACATCCAGAAGGAGAGCACCCTGCACTTGGTGCTGCGCCTGCGTGGTGGTGGCAAGAAGCGCAAGAAGAAGGTCTACACTACCCCCAAGAAGATCAAGCACAAGCGCAAGAAGACCAAGTTGGCTGTCCTCAAGTATTACAAGGTCGACAAGGACGGCAACATTGAGCGTCTCCGACGAGAGTGCCCCAGCGACACCGTAAGATCCCCCCGCTTCAATGCGATAATATTGGGTCGGCGCTAACTTCTCACTATAGTGCGGCGCTGGTGTCTTTATGGCCTCTATGCCTGACCGTCAGTACTGTGGCCGATGCCACTTGACCTACGTCTTTGACAAGCAGTAAGCGCACGATCATGATTTCTGCTTTGGAATGGGCTGTTCATGGGAGGGGAAAACGTGTAATGCGAAACAAAATTGGGCGTTGATGTAGCATAGAGCACATCCGGGCTTTGATTATGAATGCTTGACTGAGACTACGGTTAACTGGTTTATTTATGTTCACATCTTCAAGGTGCTATCGTGATGTAATATGCTGGACAGGCTGCTCGTCAAGCCGCGTAGACTTTTTAACTTCTCCACTATGCCAAGTGGGCTCTGGGGTTGGACCTCGATCTCTGCATCAATTCCTACTTTGCTGAATGATTACTCTCTCGCTATGTCGGCACGCTAGTTGATAATGTCAGGATCTTCTGGTTCATGGCTATTTCTTGTAGCATCACTACGCATAGCCCACGACGAGGCAGCTCTATACAAGACCGCCATCATGCACGACTGAATACTGGACCCCTGTTTGGGAAGTCACTTCATCACCAAGCGAAAGCAACAGTTTTTGAATTCTTGAATAAAATCTAATCCGTGCATCAACAGTACAGGTTACCAACTTCATACACCACGATGAATAACAAATTCAGAAACTATTGAAATATAAAGCCATATCATATGCCCTCAAACGCCGCAAGCCTGAATCCTGCAAAACTCCCTCACAAGCAAAATCGCAACAGGCCGCCTGTAAGAAATGCCAAAGACTTTGTCCATCATCAACAGACCTCGTCCGTTTGATTCCTTATCAGTCTGATCCTCGGGTACTTGGTATTCCCTCATGACCAGCTTCCAACGACTGCTCTCCTGTCTTGGTTTGATCATCCACTGCATGCCCCAGTAAAAGAATCTCAAAGTATTTTTGAGCAGTTGGGCAATCGGCGAAAGATTTCTACTCTTCATCGGCAGCCTTGGACTTTCTCTTCTTCTTCTTCTTTTTCTTCTCGGCATCATCATCTGCTGGAGGAGCTTCTTCTTCATCACGCTTGCGCTTCTTCTCCTTCTTCTCCTTTTTGTCCTTCTTCTCTTTCTTGTCCTTCTTTTCCTTCTTGGCAGAAGCAGGAGCATCGGCCATCTCATCGTCGCTGTCTTTGCCAGCGCCGTCGCCGAGAACTGACATGACAGATTTCTAACAAATCAGATTAGCAATGACGTCCGCATTCAAGCTTCAGTGTTTCAAGTTCATCGACATACCATGACATCAGCGTTCTTGGCAGGTTTCTTGCCGCTGGCGTAGAACTCCAGGCGATCCTCGACTTGTTGTCTGAGAGCCTCACCAAATCGTGTTGAGGGCTCTTCGGAAAAGTTGTCAATCCTGCTAGCCATGCTGCACTTGTTGGCAAGGTACCGTGAAATTCTACCCTTGTTGCGTACGCCAGCCTTGCCGATGAAGCTGCTGTGGTAGATTAAACCATACTTGGGAGTGTTGCTCTTGGTCTTGAGGGCACGGAAGAGGGCCTTCTCGGCACCGAGAATCTGAAGGGTCGAGGCGGGGTATTTGGAAAGGTTGGTGAGGGAACCAGCGTGAGAGATTAGGCGAGCAGCAACAGGAGTGCCGATCAGAGCCTGCAGATTGGGAGCGACGTGTCCCATTTTCTTTTCCAAGTAAGCAGAGGTGGTCTTGCGATTCTCAGCCTGCTTGACAACAGCTTCAGCGAAGCCAGCAATAATCTCCAAATCGGCAGCGGCAATGTCCAGGCCCATGGACACCTTGGCAGCATCAATGATAGCTTGAGCCTTCTCACCGTCCTCACCGAGAATGGCAGCGAGATCGTGCAGCTTCTCGTCGTTCAGAGTTTTCTTGTCTCCAATGGCGAGAACAAGCTTGGCGTAGGTCAAATTGTCGGAGACAATCTTGACCAACTCCGGGAAGTGCCAGCCGTACCACTCCCTGACACGCATGAAAAACTGGTTCACGCCCTTGTCCTGAAAGTCGATGGTGGCGCTAGCCTGGATGATGTGGTTGTCGTTCTTGGTGACGCTGAACTTGACCTTGGCGCGGGAGTAGGCGTGTCCCATACCCAGGCCAGCCTTCTCGATATCGCCCGGCTTCAGATCTTTCAGCAGTTTGTCGGCGTGCAGGCGAAGGCCGCGGATGACATCGCCAACGATATCTGAGGTATCGGCGGTCTCGCACTCCAGTCCAGGGAACTCGCTCTTGATGGCACCGGCCAGGTTCTTCTCCGAGACGCCCAAAACAACCTTGGCCTTTTTGCCGGCCTTGGGAAGATTGAGCTCGAGGACGGATTTGAGGTATTCGGAAACAATGCCTTCGGAGACGAGGTTGATGTTCTCCAGGGCTTCGACATGGCCGCTGTTGTGAAAAAAAAAACAGAGTAAGTAAAATGGTGGCACAGCAGCAGTAAACATGCCAGGTACACATACCGGAAAGGACTGAAATTGGTCAGTTTGACCATCTTGCCAAACTTGGCGAGGTCATTGACGGCGGCCTGAGTCTCCTTCAATTTCAATCCAACAGCATCAGACTGATGCACCACCTGGAAGAGGGCATAGCCCACAGGGGACTCGTAGAGGGCATAATCAATGTGCGACATCTTGGCTCGTCCCGAATTTGCCAATGCCCCGACTGGTTAAATTGGAGCAGCTGAGACGAGAGATGTTCAATGGTGCAGTGAGGTTCTCGAATGCAGACTCTTGAGATACAACCGATTTGCACTTTTTTCCTGTGGAAATTTTTCTGGCGGCAGCTCTAAGCTCGTGCACGGACCATGTGCAAGTGGCCAGCCAAAGTTTGCTACTACTACTACTATAGTACCACTTTGTGTGGCGGTCACGTGGCGATACTTGATATTGGCGGGGCTCAAATTGGCCAAAAGTACATGCATGCAATTCCTGGAGATGCACGGTGCCCAATAATGTAGAATTCATGCCATTGTTTATGGCCAAGTATTCACGTAACCGGCGACAAATTGAAATGGTCGATGCATTCATTCTAGAAAAATTCGGACATTTTCTTCAGGTTGCCAAGGCAACATAGTTTTTACTCGTTACTTCGCTGTCCTAATTGTTTGGGAATCCATCTCGAAGGTTATCGTATTTAGTCTCGGGGTATGTGATGCAGTTGTCCAGCTTTTGAAGACAACCCGGGCCGCCAAACGTCTCCACGACCGTTGAGATCAAGCTGTCTGATCCTGACTTATCACCGCTGCTCTCCCACCACATGGCTCCGCCTAGCGCCCTCTGTTTGACATACTCTGCCTTCGTCTTGGCCATGGGTGCGGTGTCGTAACTCACAAGCTTGCGGTTGGCCGCGCTGTAACAGTAACTGGCTTGCGCTTGGTCATCTGAGAACTCCTCTGAGCCCTCCAGAGGCAATTTCTTATAGTCAAAGACGCCGTTTTCCCAAGTACCTTCCCCCACGCCCTGAAAGGGCTTTCCAGGACCGTCAGTATTTTCAAAAGCCCGCCCGTATAGAGGCATGCCAAGCACAATCTTGTTAGCGGCAACGCCATGACTTGTGTAGTAATCTACCGCCGCATTGGTAGAAAATGGCGTGGAAGCGTTGTTGCCAGGGTAAATATTGGCCTGGTGTCCACTGACAGAGTCCCATGAACCAGCATAGTCGTATGCCATCAAATTCCAAAAGTCCAAGTACTTGTCCATCTCGGCAATTTCAAACTTTTCGTAGTTATTGGGACCTGCAGGGCAGGCCACTGTCAACTCAAAGTGGTAGTTATCAACGCACTTTGCAGCGTAGGCATCAAGCTCTTGGCGTACGGCGGCGAGAAGCTCAACATAGTTGCGTGCTTCCTCTGGATTTTGCGGATACTCCCAGTCGATGTCAATGCCATCAAAGCCAAGGTTCTTCAGAAGCTCGACACAAGATTTGGCAAACGTCTCACGACCCTGTGGTGTGCTGGCAGGGTTCTTGAAATTGGCACTGTAGGTCCAACCGCCAATGGAGAGAAGAACCTTGAGATTGCGGTTGCGCTTCTTCAGGAGGTTCAGTTGCTTGAGACAGCCATAGATGTTATTGCCGGTATCATTCCACGAATCACCTTCCCAATGGATATCTGTATCAGCCCAAGTGTCCGTCAGGTGCCTGGGACTTATCAGCGTTTGTGCCATTGCTATAACATGGGGTGTTTGCAAACTTACACTTCGCCAGTATCGGTCCGAACATTCGCAAACGCATACAAAACATGGGTCAGATTCTCGACAGGGAGATCCTGGGGCCTGTGCTTTCGGGCATAGATTGCCCTAGATAACACTGTTAGTTCGTCGATTCTCTCACAAAGCTCTGAACAGTCAACTCACCAATTTACAAAGTAGGCTACCGTTCGGTACCCGTCGTTACTCATATTGCTCGGCGCGGAGGAAAATGTGGGAACAGAGTTATGCTGAATGCCAAAAAATAGAACCAGACAAGCTGCAATTGCAGTGAAACAAATGATCAGCCCAGAACAGCTAGGTTGAGAAGATTGTGTGTTTGGCTAGGGCCGTCAGTCCATGCCCGGACGTAAGATGCCACTGATGGTTGGGTAGAAATGAGATGTTGACCTAGAAGCAAGTCGGCGCGCTTTACCCCGTATAATACAAATGGCGATGCTGGCTAGCGGGTTGTATGGGATTGTATGGCTGCTGTGGAGAGAATGGAGAATGAGAACTTGGGCTCACCAATTTCATCAATATGAATGACCTAGTAAGTGGCTTGACGACGACAAAAGAAGACTGTCGCTAGAACTTATGTTAGGCAAAGAATGGCCTCAAGGCTCACACTGCTCGCGAGAAGGAAGGCGAAGGTTTGGCTTTGCTTGGGCATGGAAGGAGGCACTGGGGAGATGTTGATAGCCGTCATTGCCCGTCATTGCCTCAGCCACGCTCAAGCGGGTGCGGGTCATTGCTCTTGCAGGTTGGAGGGGTTTGCAGTCTGGTTGCCCGACCGGATATTCAACCGGACTTGACGTCGTGCAGCAGCACTAGTCCTCACGAATCGACCTTTGAGGGCTTTTCCGCAAAAGGAAGCAGCAATTGGTCACTTGCATCGGAATGTGTCAAAATGCCAAAACCCCAAACCCCCAAAACGTCGTAGCTTCTATGCGTCTGCTACAAAGCAAATCCGACTCCTTAGCATCTCGGTAGGTGCCAATGCTGCCTCACATTATTATCAATCAACCCACCTCTGGTCACTAGAGTTGAAAACGGCAGCTTGGACCCCGTAAACCCCTGGATGGCGCCAAGCACGGCAAACCTCCCACTGAACTCTTCGCCATCTCCTCCTCCGCAGTCAGGCCAGCCCCGAACCAGTGATGGTCCTCGCGGTGTAGAATGGACGACCCACTGAATGCCGACGAGAGCCACCAGGAAGGAACACGCCATCCCAGCCTTTTTGCGCCGCCACAAATGTCATGGCAGCCAACTGCAGGAGATGCGATAGTCGGAACCACGACGCGGCCCAGTGCACTGCCTTGTTCTCCGGCACGACAGACATGGGCTTGTTAAAAAGTGTGTCCATGATGCCGCGGTCGCCCACGAACAGGCTCCCATCCATAGCATTGTCGTGCGATGCAACCAACATGCTGGCGTACGAAAAGGCCTCGTTCCTCTTCATGGACGTCGACGGCCGGCGTATGGCGACGCAACGGACAACAACTTGCGACACTCTACAGGCAAAGACAATGACCGCAGTGCCATAGGCCTCGAGCAGGCTTCAACGTTAGGAAAACCCCCAATCACGCAACACAGGATATGGAATACCGCTTGCCGCCGCAGTGAACGATACTCCTTTCGAGGAGCGTGGTTGGCTGTGAGCCTGTGATGGACGTCGTAGACACCGTTGATAGTTGACCTGCGAGTGGGCTCGACGTCTGGTGACGCAGCTGCAACATGGTTAGCCTTCAATTGAATGTTGGTCCGTCCTCTCGGGCCGCAGTTCTCCGTTTTATTCACCACTGGCATCTGTCGATTTCGAGCCTGAGTTGCTGCGTCGTCTTCGCCATCTCGGTTCCTTGGAGAAGAATGCTCCGGCATTCTCATTACCTGAAGTCGATCTCGAGCCAGCAAGCATCGAGCAATGGTTGGGCTGGCCGCCCCATTTGCGCGGGGGAATGCGCTTCCCCAGCGAACATCTCACACTGTTCGGCTCGACCCGTCTCTGTGTAGTGCTTCAATGTTGCCAGATCAAGGAACTTGGTCCCCCGGTCCAGCAGCCTGGCAAAGCCCGATAAGGTCACCGGCCTTGGGAAGATGCCAATTGATGACAATTGGCCCAGAAGAGAGATCTCGCTTGTAGTCGTCCCTCTATGGTTCGGCAAGAAACATCAATATCAAGCCAATCTGGCAAAAGTGATTCCGGTGGAAAGTCGAGATCCCCTTCACTTCCAGGGCTTCCCTCCAGCATTTCAGCTACATTTGTCGGTTTCGAATAGGTGTTGTAATTCTCTTCGTATCGGCGAAGAGCGTCTGGTGTCATGTCGATGAAAAGCCATTGACTCCAGAGACCGTTATCTGTGATGGTCCCTACCCAACTTCCTTTCCCATCGTATCCATTATGATACTTGACGGGAAAGTGATAAGGGCGGTTATTGATATTTATCTTTCGTCTCACCGGCTTTGCTACAGGGTTAGCTGGGGCCCAGCTATATCTCGGGGATTTCAGGATGCATGCCGAGTCAATCCAACGAGAATCGCAATTCAGTCGCCTCGCCGGATTACACAACCGCTGATGGAGGCATGCATTAATGCCATCTTCTGGCCTACCCCCCTGCCCATGTGCCCAGACGTGCGATCTGGCAAGAGTGCACGAGGATGCAGGTTGGCAAAACAAGAAGTCCAGATCACTGTCGACCTGGACTGCCTGGGGCCCTTGACCACAATATAGGAGTCTTCATTCCATCTTATTCTTTGGCCGTTGTCTGAACAGGAAATACCATGAGCCAACTGAGCGCACGATTTCGCAGACGCAAACCGCTCGGCCGATGATGGGCCGTCTACCTTGCAGGCTTCGCTAGACGTCTCCAGGCAGCCTCCGGGCTCGTGTTCAAATCGAGAACTGAAACTATTTAACAGTCTTTGGAAGTCGAGTGTTCGTGCTGGTTTCGTTCGAAGGAGTTCCAAAGACCAGTTGCAGAGATACTGGGTGGTTCCCGTCTCGCGATAGTCAGCATGCCCGTGCATTCGATGGTCTGCGAGATCCCTCAAGAAGTGATCTATTCCTGCAACCGAATGTAGGTCACCCCGTTGGGTAGACGGGCCATTGTTAAGCCGTGCTCTTGCCATCGTATAGAAGAGTATCATGACTGACCGATGCCTCGCTACTGAGAGATGGAACGCACCGCAACACTAAAATGAGATACTTGGAAGGTAGACACAGAAAGTATCATCCTGCAAATTGTTTCGACTTGGATGAGCAATGGAGACGGAACAAATGTTGTGGGCGTCGTGACCAAAAAGACAGCGCTTTGGAATGGGCCGACCAGGGAATTCGCACAAGCATGGTATGCTCCAATGACCGTGGAAGAGATGAACACCATGATTGACGGCACCAACTGTATTCTCTGACTTGTCGAATATTTGGTGTGCTTGTCAAAAATGATTCAATTGGCCATGCAGACGGGCCAATCCTTAGCGACACCTGGGATGCGCCTCGCCTCTATTCTGCCTTATATATGGTAAGCTCGTGCTATAATTCAAGTAAAGGCGCGAAGAGTGACGAAAATCGGAATCCAGGGGCTCCTTTGACCGTCCTACTTGCCTTGTACATTATCTATCGAAATTTGTCAACCCAGGGGCTCTCGGCCCTGCTTGATCTCGAGTTGCGAGGCTCACATTGTCTGGTGTTGGACGATCCTTTCGGCCTGGGGTAGGCGCCAGACCTCGTTGGAAACAAGGGCGCAAAGAATATCTGGCCAGGAGGGATGAGGAGCAGCTTTGTATGCGTTGCTAGAAAAGTTCTCCCGTAGAGTAGTCGGAACGGGGTACAAACTGGTTGCTAGCAGAGGCATGTGGTGGTCAATGGCATAGCTCGGAGAAGTGTCGATAGAGGTTTCAGAGCCAGAGCCAGCCACCAACATTGAAGGGGCTTGAGTCACTATGCATGGCTAATAGCCCTCCTCATTGTTTGCCGTTCAAATAGTTCCATTGTCGATGTCGGGCCTTCGGATCCGGTGGATACGACTTTGACAAGCTCATTGCCCTGTTTCTTCAGTCGTTACGAGTCGGATCGCTGGCAATGATTCTTGTGCGTACTTTATTGTCCTGAGGCGAACTTCACAAGTCTTACTCCGTATACTACTCGCATTCTCCTGTCCGGCTCGGGACTGTCAGGCTTTGGCATCGAGGGTAACATGCCAAACGTGCCTCACCGAGTACCGACCACAAACCTTGACATGGTATGACACGAAAACGAGGCGTTCGGCCGGCGGGCGACTCCTATTGGCTATAGTTGACATCCGACGCGGATCTTGACGGTGTTGGTTGCACATGCTCAAGCTGTGACCATCAGTTGACCTCATCTTGTAGCACCATTGTTTGTTATTGGCCACGACAAGGCCAGTCGGCGATAATTTTGTCGTTGACCGACCTCAACTTGCTGTCGATGCATACATATCAACATGTTGTAAGTGGGGTAGTGCCGCTTGACTTATATTATTCGAGTAAATACTCCGTACTAGCAAACTGTTGGAGGGTTGTGTGAGGAATCTGAGGATGCCAATCTTGGCAATTCTCCGCGTGTCCATCGGATATTTTCAACTCTGTTGGCAGCCAACTTCACTCAGAACCTGTGCGCCCGATCAAATGGGAACCGCAACTTGACTGAGATTTCTCCTGGAAGAGAGGACAGTGTCATTGGCATGCCGAGACTTTTGAGGACGGGCGGCGAGAAAACGAGTCTGCTCCGGTCTCGTCTCTGACTAGAAAAGCGCAGCGCAGAGAATTTACAACGATCCAAAATTCAGCGCATGTACATATACGACCGTCGAGCTCTCCAGAATCTTTGAATAATGCTCCATGTCCGGTGGCTTTCTGGAATCGTGGCATCGGGACAGCCTATTATTCCGTGCTCGTTGTCGTGTCGCCATTACAATAGCATGAACCAGTCCAATACCATGCATAGCTACCTGTGTCACCCTAATGTTTTACATCCATTTCGATATGTGGCTGGGGGCATCTTCTGTGTCTATTCGTTGAGCTGGAGCCAAGAGATCACAAACCATGGGCGCACAACGACCAGTGCTTTTGGCCTTGTGATTCTGTGTTCCCATCCCTACGGAGTGGACGTTTTTTCTTCTTCTCTGCTTCTATGGCGATTCGGTCTCGTTTAAGAGGGAGCGATGGGTGCCCATTTACCCAACTTCCAAAATCCCTCACCTAGGGCCTCTACGCAAACTATGCCTGAGGGAGAGACCCGAGTTCCACCATGAAGCTGCATGTCGACATGTTCGCCGGACTTGTTGACAATACTAGCGTGTTAGGAATCCTCCTGGCGACTCTCGCTCTATATCTTGGCTACTTTACCCTTCGGCCAGTTCCCATTCCCGGCATTCCCTACAATGAGGATGCTGTGATGCGAGCGTTTGGAGACTTGAAAGCAATGAAATCGGCCAAATATCGCCGTCGATGGATATGGAGTCAGCCTAGAGAACACGGCACAGCCATATATCAGCTCTTTTTGTTTCCGTTCCGGCGGCCTACAGTCATTGTGTCAGATTACCGGGAGGCGGTAGACATTTGCTCTCGTCGGGTCAAGGAATTCGACCGAGGCACTCGCAACAGAGAATGCGTCGGCATAACTGCACCCAACTTTCACTTCACCATGGAATCCAGAGACCCTAGGTTTAGACACCACAAGGAGCTATTGAGAGACTTGATGACCCCCTGGTTTCTGGAAACGGTGTGTTTTTTGTCGATACACTTGACGCCGGGAGCAAATTGTGGCACGAGATGCTAACGAGTTTGCAAAGGTTGCGACGCCCCGAGTATACGAGAATGCGGTTGCCCTTGTTGACCTTTGGGGTATCAAGGAGCTCAAGGCACTGGAAAGACCATTCTCTGCCAACCATGATTTGTATCTGTCGACGCTGGACACAATATGTGCCGTGGCTTTTGGCATGGACCGGGAAATGTCTGCCGTTGGACACCAAACCCGCCACATCGAGGGATTCAAACCTGTTGAGCATTGGGGATTGGGTGTTGTCGCACGATTTCCAACCGCTCCTACAGATGCCTACTTGGAATCGATACTCGATATTCCCGAAATGGTAGCAATTGCACAAAAGAGCTTCTTCCCTACACTATCCCAGCGACTTGCACTGCTGAGCCCGAAACACGCCCGGGCTCACTGGAATAGACGGAGGCTGATTCGGAAACAAACTGAGCAAGCCCTGAGGAGGATATCCTCTCTTGGTGACCAATACACGCCCAAAAGTGCTTTGGATCACCTTCTCCACCGAGAAATGATGGCATCTTCCAGGGCCGGCAGAGCACCAGACTTCTTTTCCCCAGCCATCCGAGACGAGGTATGGATTTGAGACGTTCCATCAACTGGTCACAAGTCGCTAAGAGGCTATCAGGTTCTGGGGTATTTACTAGGGGGTCATGATAGCATAGCTACTGTGCTGTCCTGGTGGACCAAACACATGCAATGCTTTCAATATGTGCAGTCACGGCTGAGACAAGCCCTGCGCCAGGCCTTCCCCGGAGCAGTCGAAGAGGGCCGTTGGCCAACGGCTGAAGAAATATCATCCACGTCAGTGCCGTACTTTGATGCTGTCGTGGAGGAGTCGCTTCGAATAGCCTCCGTTGCTACCCTCATCTCTCGAACGGCGACGTGCGATACTCAAATACTTGGGTATAGCATCCCCAAGGGAACGGATATCCTGTTGTCATTAACCGGGCCTTCTCTGACAGAGCCTGCGGTTCCCGTTTCAGAGCCAAGTCGAACGGCTGCTTGTAGGCAAGCCAAAGACCGCATCCCTGCTTGGGGAGATGACATTGGAGAGTATAAGCCGGAGAGGTGGCTCAAGGTCGAAAGTAGAGATGGCAGCGATGGCGTCCAAGTGTTTAACCCTTATGCTGGGCCAAATCTTGCCTTTTCGGCGGGACCTCGCCAGTGTTTCGGCAAAAAGCTGGCACTTCTTCAACTAAAGACCACCATGGCGCTACTGCTTTGGAACTTTGAGCTTCAGGAGGTAGAAGCCTCCCTGAGCGGGTGGGATATTACGGAGAGGCTCTTCAATCTGCCGACGAATTGTTATGTGAAATTGCGGAGAACAGGACATGACAAGGTGGCCGATTTACCGTGAGCGGGGCATCATGATGAAAATGAAGAAGGGCGTTAATTTGGCTCTATTTCCATAATTCTATACTTTGTGAGGATGGACCAGTCCCCGTCTAAATCTAAATCTTGTTCCCGTAACGCCATCCCGCATCTATACAACCAGAGAAAATGAAAACATACACAGAACTCTTCCTACGCTGCCGCTGCCGACGTAGCCTGCTGCTCCTGACGCTCCTGAACAGCCGCCACGACCACCTTCTCCGCGTCTGCTGCCCCCCTGGCCAACGTCCTAGCCTCCTCCAGCAGCTCAGCTTGTCTGTTCAGATAGCTCAGGTACGTCTGCCACCCGACGGCCACGACGCCCGAGAAAATACTCCGAAACTCAAACGGCAAAAAGGCCATGGAGAAGGCGACAGTCGCAGGCCACACCTTGAACGAGTTGAGCCAGCTGGTGGGGACGGTATCCCGAATCCGCTGGACCGTCGCCTCCAACGACTCCCCGGACAGGAGGGCCTGCGCGCCAAAAAAGTACGTGCTAAAGGTGGGCGTGAAGCAGAGCTGGTTGAGGGCGACCTTGGTAGCTATGGACAGCGTTTTGGACGCGTAGTTGAAGTTGTTACTTAGGAAGCGGAACCTGAAGGGGCAAGGCGAGTGAGTGACATGGGGAGGAGGCAAAAACGGGACCAGATGGCAAGTAGGGATGATTCTTACCAGTGAAAGTATGGCACGGCAGCGGCAAGTCCTATAAGAAGCATCCGCGCTGTCCTCTTGGGGTCGTGTTCCCTTCCGCCGATGCGCTGGGCACTCAGGTCGGCAAAGAGATAGATGACTAGTGCGCCTGCGATTTGTGTGGTGTACGGGCGTTTTCGCTGCGATCGACTGTAGGCATTGGCGGCTGTAGTCAGGGGTCCCAGACGCTGCCAGATGGGGGGCAGAGATGGGGACGGGGTGGCCGAAGCGGTTGGCGTCTTTGACGTGGCTGATTCTGCGGTCTTGTTGGTATTTGTAGATGTTGATTGCGCTCGGAGTTGGGTTCGCTGTCGCAAGGCGCGGAACTGCAGACGCGCGGCGGCGGTGCGAAATTGCGGCAATGACATGGTCAATTTGGCTCGGGCAGTGGTACTTGTGTCATTTGAACATGTGTACTCCGTGCTGGGTGGGAGATTAGAGAATGTAGTTTCTTGTTTGTAAAGTTTGAGATTGGGAAAAGAAAAAGGGCGCCAAGGTGTTTGGTAATGCGTCACTTGGCATCTCGGCATTAGACCGGAGATCCGGGCCGGGATCGGGTCAGCATGACGGGGTAAAAGTGGCGCATGGTTGACTCCGACACGATGGCCGCCCGAAGGACCATCGTCATTGGCCAATCGTAGCCCGCCGCGCCTGGCTACGGTACCCCATCAACCATTTGATCAGACGGTTGTGGCTTCCTTGTCAACTCCCTGCCAACTGCCCGACTAGTGCCGCCAAGACTATCAACACCAGACAACTCCTCACCCATTCCCATCGACTTTGGTTGGGTTGCGTTCATCCCATGCTTTTTTTTTTTTTTTTTTTGAAAGGCCAGCCTTCTTTTAAGCTTCAGCCGCGCACAGAATACAATTTGGCCTTGTAACCGCATTTACCTACCACGTCTTTTTTGCTCACCATGGCGCATCATCTAGGGACTCTCCCTTCCGGTATAAACATGGAATCAGTATGGGTTTCGCTCCCAAAACCAAGTAGCGACGGGTCTGAATCAATGGCAGATCGTATTCGCAGAGTGCAAGCAGACTTGGGCGAAATTTATACTTTTTACAACATTTCCGTATCACCCGCGCGACGGAGCCGCCTGGATAGATTCTGCGCCGATGAACTAGAGTCCCTCAGCCACGTTGAGTTTGATGCGCTGAATCAACAGGATAGAGTGGACTACATTTTGTTGCGTAATTTTTTAAGGCAGTGCAGGGCGCGGTTGAAGTCTGATCAGGACGCAGACAAGAGCAGGGCACCATTGCTACCGTTCGCAGCCATCATTGTGTCTCTATGTGAGCATCGAGAGCGCGTCAAACCCATTCGCCCCGAGCAAATTGCAAGCAAACTCAACGACGTGAAAAATTTGGTCGACAAGGTACATCAAGAGGTCGAGGATGGAAAGGTAAAGACCAGCAAGACCAACGCTTACAAGGCATCCAAAGTCATCAGCGAGCTTCGTAGCCACCTTACCGAGATGTTCAAGTTCTATTCGTCCTACGATTCTCAGTTTGATTGGTGGGTTACCTCACCTTGGGAGGCAGTTGATGCAGCGTTGGAGAAATATTTCTCCCTAGTCCAGAGAAAGTTGGCGGGTATACGCCCCGATGGCAATGGCGATATCATCGGCCAACCCATTGGACGTGAAGCACTCCTCAATGAGCTTGAAGCAGAAGTCATTGACTACGCACCAGAAGAGCTGGTACAAATTGCCAACCAGGAGTTCAAGTGGTGCGAGCAGCAAATGAAACTAGCCTCGACGGAACTCGGATTTGGTGACGACTGGAAAAGAGCCCTCGAGCATGTCAAGACGAAATTCGTGCCCCCGAGTGAACAGCCCCAGCTCGTCATGCAACTTGCCCGCCAGGGAGCCGACTTTGTCCGAGACAATGACCTCGTCACGGTTCCGCCTTTGGCCGAAGAAACCTACCGCACCATCATGATGCCAGCCGAGCAGCAAAAGGTCTCGCCCTTCTTCCTCGGCGGATCCATGATCCAAATCGCATATCCCACCAACGACATGCCGTACGACCTCAAGCAGATGGTCATGCGTGGAAACAACAGACACTTTTCCAAAGCCACTGTGTTTCACGAGCTCATCCCCGGCCACCGGTTGCAGCTCTATCAAGCCGAACGGCACCGAAGCCATCGCTTACTGTTCCAGACCCCCTTCTTCGTAGAAGGATGGGCCATGTACTGGGAATTCGTCCTCTGGCAGCGCGACGATTTCTTCGTCTCACCCGAGGACCGAATCGGCACCATGTTCTGGCGCATGCACCGCTGCGCTCGCATCATTCTGTCTCTGAACTTCCATTTGGGCAAGATGGAGCCCCAAGAGTGTATCGACATTCTGGTCAACTGGGTCGGGCACGAGCGGTCTACGGCCGAGGGTGAAGTTAGACGGTGGCTGAACGGAGATTACGGCCCTCTTTATCAGATTGCGTACATGATTGGTGCTCTGCAGCTCGTCGAGCTGAGAAGAGAGGTGCTCACATCTAATAGGATGACCGAGAAGAAGTTCCACGATACCATTCTTACGTATGGGGCTATCCCTAACGAACTCGTGAGGGCTTTGGCATTAGACCTCGATTTGAAGCCGGACTACAAGGCAAAATGGAGATTCTACAAAGGGTAATATGCTGCAATAGGGGAAAGCTAAACTTTTGTGCTTTGGATATATTGAATCGACGCATAAGAGTACATGTGAGCAGTTCCTTTCCCCCCTCCCTCCCCGTTCTTTTGTAGAAGAAAAAGAAAAGACAAAAAAGTGTCTATTTGTAATGACGAATCACGCTATTTTCTGTTTCCTACACAATTTGGCCACTACCTTTTATCATGTCTTCCTTGCCGTCGTTTGCTTAAAGCTCCTGCGAGCCCACGTCTCATGTCCTGGTTTCGGCGGTGCGCCCCATGTTTCGACGACTTCGCCCGTCGCAGTTATCTGGGTGACGAGCTGGGGCGAGCCGCAGTAGACGCTGCCGCAGTACTGGCTGCCGGGACCCTTGACTGTACATGTCCGCCGAACAGGTTAGCCGTGTTTCTTTGCAAGAATGTCGCGCGAGACCGAGCTGTGAATGTAAGTCTGCGCACCCTCTTTCATTTGCTTCTTTGGCGGTATAGGAACAGGACTGCTAGGCATATTCAAGTAGGTCTGGATGGATGGAGAACCGGCTCCCTAGGCCAAGGAAGAAGAAGGTGTCATGGGCTCGGAATGGCCATGTTGAATATATACTCGTTGACCACGCCACACCTTGCCGCTTGCCACGTTATTCAACACCATGGAACGACGGGCACGTAGCACAATGAGATAATCCGCATTGAAAGCAGAGCAGAATGAGATAAGCCGTGCCAATGGCGTGTGTTGTCCCAATGCAGCCAAAAGTGCAGCATACTCCGTACAAGGGGCCTCGTACCATGGAAGCGAGACACGACACGAGTGGCGTGTTTCGTCAGGTATGCCGGCCACGGGGATCTACATGACACGTACGGAGTAGGTCAACCAGGGCTCTTGCTAGTGGAGGAAATTCATGATTCGACGGAGGCGGGTGACACAAGGGCAAGACGACTGCAGCTGTTGCTGGCGTGGCTGTCCACCGGGGGTGAAGGAATTGGTCATGCTATGCGATGTAACGACCTGTGTGTTTGTCGTTTGGTCTCGTCTTGCCGGGCTCCTCCTGTAAAGCACAAGCTGTTTGCTTTTGCGGCAGTAGGATGGCCTGGTGTCAGTCGAGGCACGGGGAAGAAGGATGATGATGGACCTGTCATATTTCCACTGGTAACTCGCGGCGAAGCAGGCTTTGGGATGCTTCATGTTTATGTCTGTACAAGGAGCAATTCTGTTGAACGGGGCTCAGCGGTGATTAAGGATCCAATTATCAAGTGTGCAATATGTGAGTGAATTCTTTTGTATTTGGTAAACATGTTGCAGCTGACTTTCTTTTTTCAATATTATATTGGCCAGTTGTGCTTGTTCCCCTCCCTAAAACATGTCCCGATTTGGAGTGAATACGTAACATTGAAGTAACGACTCTTTGGCTTTACACTCATATTCAATGTATGTCTCGGACAATCCTAATTCCAAGTCCCAGACGGAACAACCATGCTTGTTGGAAACAGAGGATCAGGGAAGCATCGGGATTGACGCTCCCCAAGCCGAGTCCGCCGGCGGAATAGCCAATAGCTACAGAACTTTTCTTTGGAATGGTCCATGACTCCATCCTGAATGTGATGAAGTCGTCTCTTCAGTGGACTGACCAGGGAGAGCATAGAAAGGACTGCCATCAATGCGAGTATCGCCATGATGTACCGTCCACATCGTACACAGAAAAGCCAGACACCTCCGAGCAACATTTGTAAAGTACACACGCTCTTGGTTCACATTCATTGGCAAGATCCCCACGTTAATGCTACCAAAAGGCCAGGTAAGCGTCCGTGGTTTCTCCCACGGCTAGGTCCTAGAATCGTTACCAGTAACACTTGCAAGACACATTTGCCATTGATGAATGATGAGTTTGTTTCTACAAAGAAAAATGCCTACATGATAGTACAAATGAGTGACTCCACAGATGCAAGTGAACACGACGCCGCAACGCCCGATAAAAACACCAAAACACCCGACATCTCAACAACGGCAACACGCAACACTCGGCCCAAGATTAAAACATTTCCACGTCATCCTCCTCCAGCAAACCCAGTCCGCTATCATACCGTCTGCGAAGCTTCCTCCCACCCGCCATCGGCGCCAAAGAGCCAGGAGCAGCAGCCGCAGCCGCAGCCTTGCCATCTACACGGGACGGGGAAGAAGCAAGCTCATCCTCCGCCTCGTCGCGCAAACCAGCCTGCCTCCCTTCCCGCCCAGGACTCCTCAGAAACTCGTGGCTCATCTGCAAGACACGCTGCAGCTCCGCCTTGACCGATTCCACAGCCGCCTTGGCCCTGGCGCGCTCGTCGTCCACGCGGGCCTCCAAACTGCCCTTATCCACGCGCAGCACCACGATGGTCTCGTGAGCAGCGCGCAGGGAGTCGTTGACGCGGTCAATCTCACCGCGCAGCTCCAAGACGCGCGCGTCGCGGAGGGCCAGCGCCGCGCCGTGCCGCCTGTTCAACGACACGACGTGCCGCGTGCTGCTGTCCTGCACGTCGCCCATTTCCCTCTGCAGACGGGCCGACTGCCGCACGGCGTCGGCAAGCCTCTCCTGCAGCTCGGCGATGCTGGCGTCCCTCTTCTCCAGCTCGTGCCGGTCAAACTCGCGCTGCGCCGAGCTCGTGGCCGCCGCGTCGCGGTGTTCCTCCTCCATCCGCTGCACGAGCTTCTCCAGCTCCGACATGTCGCGGATGTACCCGTCGACTGCGCCCCTGAGACGCTCGTTTCCGACCTCGAGTTCCTGGACCTTGAGGCCCTTCTCGTGCAGGAGGCGCTCTGCCTTGGCCATTTCGCTCCTGAGGTCGTCCATGGCGCTGACCCTCGCGTCGAGCTGTTTGCGCAGCGACTGCTCGAGCTCGTGGTACTCGTCTATCGAGGACTCGTCCTCCTTGGCCTTCTTGGCTAGCTCGCGCAGACGCACGAGCAGGAGATCGAGCACCTCGGCGCCGTGGGAGGTCAGCGGCAGCGCAATCTCCCCGGGGGTGAGGTACTCCAGCTCCAGGCGGGCGGCGCGGAAGCCAGACGACAGCGCCGTCATCATCTCGCTGGCGTCGGCGCCGGGGAACCCCAGGTCGGCGATGGAAGCGCCGAGTAGCCGTACGGCTTCCGTCCGGTCAGACATGTCTTGCAGCAGGGCGTCGATCTTGCTCTCCAAGACGTGTGCCGCGGGGGCGTCGTCGCTCTGCGGCGAGACGGGCTCCACGGAGGCGAGCTTCTCTTTGAGCTTTGCGCTTAGGTTCTTGTACGAGTCCAGCGTGGCTGTCAGTTTGCACACTTCGAGCTGCAGCGATGCGAGCTCCTCTTGCGCTTGCCGCTTCTGCGGGTCGGGGAGGCAGACCTGGGTGCCTGTGTGAGACTGGGGGGTAGGCAGACACAGCCTGGAGGAGCACGGCGTAGAAGGCAGCATAGGGCTCGTGGCGGGAGGCGTGGGAAACGAGGACCGAGCTCGGGAGGGAGTGCTCGCTACAAAGTGTGCCATGGTTGCGTCGCCGAACTGGTCCTCTTCCTCGTCCATGCCCATGTCTATGTATTCATCCGAAAACGGGTCGCGCGCTGCCAATGTCCAGTCGTAGCTTGTCGTTTGATGATGCGGAGTCGAGGGCCTCTTGGCTAGCTCGTCCTTGAGATTCTCGATTTGCTGCTCCAGGTCCCAAATCCTCTCATTGTCGACAACTATGGTGGCGTTTTGCAGCTCGTAGATGTCTCTGTCCCTGGATTTGATTTCAGACTTGAGACGGCTAATCTCGGCTTGAGACTGCTGTGACTTGCGTTTCTTTTCCTGCTCGAGCTTGTTGAGCAAGTCCCGAAGATTGCTTCGACGAATGCGTCTCTCGACGCGGCCGTCGATGGTGTGATGCAACGAGTTTGACGATTGATGGTGATTATGGGATAGGAAGATTGGGTTTGGGGGACCGGGCGTTCCACTTCTGGAGGAGATGGCTGGCGTTGACACACGGCGCCGCTGCCGAGGAGTGTTGATGCATGTGCGGTTGATCATGGGCGTCAATCCGCTCGACATTGATAGACCTGGATCAGAGAACCGGACTGCCCTCCTTGCCCGTCGCGGGGTTTTGGGCGGCAGAGCTGCCGACTCGGTTTCTTCTGGCTTCACGATGCCGGCATTGCTTCGACGGGTTCGCCGAACGGCAATGGGGATATTGAGATCTGCCATATCTTACGATGCCACCGCAAGACAAACACAATATCAATTATCAAGGGTCGGGGAGAGCAAAGACGTCGCAAGTGAGAATCGACAGCCCGGGATGACGGAGAAGTCAAAGGAACCAAACGTCCAAGAAAAGGTCTCAATTCGCATTTAAGAAAACAAAGGACCGTGTCCATGGGCCGGCCGTCTTGTTCGACGTGTCTGGACTCTGCCCGAGGCATTGTCACCATGAGACGAAGACTGGGCTGTTGTTTACTTATTTCCATTTGCGGCTTAGCTGCCGGTCGCGTCGGTGGCTCGGCCCCACCGCGGCGGCAGCCGTTAGCCAACCGTTTCTGCGATGGCAGGGTCCAGGTCAGACCCTGGATCTTTTTGGCGTCACGACTCCATCTGCGAGGACGTGTAGTACAAGGTGTAAATGCACGCTTGGCCATCAGGTCGCCAGTCGCGAGACCCTGCGTCACGGTTGGCCTGCTATTTTTTCTCTCTCCTGTTGTCTGCTTTTTAGTGCGAGTCTATGTGAATAAATTAGTGGCCTTGGACGTGTGCAAATAGAAAAATCACCGCGTTTCCCACTATTTACATGGTTGCCTGTCCAACGGCCGCCTTCATCACCGACGACCGTGAATCAAGTGATGGAGCTGCCCGATATTCACTGCCGCGTCCAGCTACTATCCATTGCAACCTTCTCCACACTCGTGTCGCTTCACGCCTGCAGACCGTCGCGCAGCCCAGCCAACCCGGAACTCTCCCACCCGCGGCCAGATTTTTGATACAGCTGGAGCTCCTTTCCCAGGGATAAAAACACCAGCCCCTCCGACGTAGCTGACATGGCTGCGATGGGAGATTTTGCTACAAAGCCCAGACTTGTATTCCGTACTGCGCTTGCCCCGACCAAATTTTCGCGAACGAGGTTCGAGCCGTCGGTAGATAGAAGCGTGAAGTCGTATCCGTCCTGCTCATGAGGTTGTAGCCAAAGAAGCTGCTTGGGCACTGAGCTCAGGCCAAGTCCGTCGCCCTTGGCATCTAAAAGCGCGCTGTAAGTCCAAAACTGCTTCACCGCGCAGTCGAACCGCCACCAGGCTACTTACCCGCGAATGCGCCCTCGGCCTTTTCACACTGGACCTGGACGTCTGGCGGCGGCCAAAAGTCAATTGCGCAGTCCCAAGCAACCACCTCGTTCTTATCAACGACCCCAATCAGAAGAGTTGGACGCCCTTGATCGTCGTCGTCAGACTTGAATCTCTTGTCGCGCCAGTCGCCTGCGAGTGAGTAGCAGGGCATATTCGACTGGCCGGGCACCGATTCCGCCAGGACGGAGGTGACGTTGGCTACGTACCAGGCGTTTCGGCCGACGGGGTTGTCTGCCATGGCGAGCCGCAACTCCTGCGAGGCATCGTCGTACGCCAGGACGAGCAGGTCTGGCGTTCTCCGCCCCCCGTGCCATGCCGCGGATAGACCTGACGATGAGGATGTTCGGATGCCGCCGCGCTCGTCGGTCACCTCGCCTGCTTTCCATCTTCCGGCTGCCGCCTCAGAGACGTGTGAAATCAGATTGGTCTGGCTCAGGTAGAATAGGTGCACCGACCCCGTTTGATCGGCTTCCATGGCAAGGGGGGTTCCTGGCTTGGGTTCCGGAGCCGACGAGTCCAGCTTCTCGCTGATTCGGAAGCGGGTGACTGTCCTGTTGGCCCATTCGGTAACGGCAAGATGGCCAGTGTCTTCTTGTAGGACCAGCAGTCTGCGCTCCTGGCCGGAGTCTCCTTTCCTGACGAGCAGCGATGCCAGCTGGGACTTGTCCGACATGATGAATGGCGTAGCCGTCTCTTGAACCTCTGTCGTAGTCGACGGGGGAGTATATGTTGATGAGACAGGGGTCACTGACACTGTAAGTGTCGAGGTACGACGGGTAGTTGACGACGCGCCAAGAGAATTCGGCTCTGTTTGACTACCGAGGGCTGTTGTCGACGAGATGTCGTCACTTGCCGTCGTGTCAGATTTCCTGGCAGATTCCAACTTGAGCACCACTCCGAGAACGACGGCACAAGTGATTACCGTGAACACCAAGAGTCCTACCGCCGGGTAGCAGAATCGTTTTCGACGATACCACGGTACCTCCGCAGGCTGAGTGTAGTAATGGTTATGAACTGGCCCCGCCACGTTTCTCTTGAGTCTGCCTTCATATTCCGGAGGAGGACCAAAGGCCTCGAGCGGGATGCTACCGGTCGCCATGTTGCGGTTTTCATGGGAGACAAGCCAGGGGACGTCTATCAGAGACATTTCGCATGGGAAGCTGTGAAAACTGTTCTCGGGGAACAGGCCTCATTAAATGTCATTTCTCCGGTGCATGTTTGTACAGAGAAAGCAATGGGGGAGCGAGCAAAAAAAGGCCTCTGGCTCGGTTTGCGTCACACACCTCATGCGCTTTTGACGGCAACAGCTAGCCACTGCAAAGGAAGGGCTTCAGATAGAATACACATGGGCGTAATCAAAAGGGTGTGTCGGCGGCAACATGATTCATATTTCAGTGCACATCTTCACTCTTTTTGACAACAGTCAGAATAGATTGCGCCGACAAACTCCCACGTCGCTCTCTTTACAATTCGCGACTTACCTGCACATGCCTGTCTAAATTCCCAAATTTCCCTACAAATTAAAGGGCAGTAAAAATTTGTGCTTTTTCATGCGACACAGTTTGACAAAGTATAGTTGTCCGGCGCTGATTGTTTGCCAATGCTGTCATCTACCCGTCATTTCACGGGAGTTTGAGATTGCTATCCAGGATTCTCCAAAAACTGCAGATGCGGAATGATTCATCGTTCCATGGTGGTAAGCTTGAGAATTTTTCGTCGTCTTGACCGTACATGAAATTTGATTTCCAGCACGTTCCATCAAGTCGTCTACTATGCGCCGTAATAACCACCATCCACGGCATTCTGAATTCCTCTTCAACGACATTTCATCATGCAAGAGGTAAAGACCACACAATCACTTATTGCAAGGTCATCATGGATCATCTTAGTTGGAGCTGATGTCAATCACCACAAGACATGCTTGTAGTGACATGGGGTTCTGACATGTCACGAATCTACATCTGAGTCCATGCTTTGCTGTCTGATTGTCCGGAGTCTTGGTGAAAAAGCAATCAGCTCATGTGGAGCCGGTACAATGAATGACAGGGCCTCCTCTTCTGCTGCATTGAACAACATGACATGTCCGTTCTGTTATGTGGGAATCATCGGGCACTACCAGTGTCACACTGATATGACTTCTTGATCTCGACCCGCCTCATATACAGCAACGTGACACAGGGATGTTCATCATTTAATGAGATGATGTCTACAGGAAAAGTGTGTAGAAGTATGGCCGTCAGTTGGTTCTCGACTAGTCTAATAAGTTAAGTTATGTTCCAGGTCATCACCCATTACACAGATTCCATTTACAGCTCTCGGATTTTATTCGAATACTAAGCTAATCCTCGCTTGACTTATTTATGTGAATAATTACCGCAAAAATTGTCTCTATTTGGCAGAAAGTCGATTGCCCAGACGTTCTCCCAACGGGCATAACTGTCGTCAAGATTGGGTTCACAATAACAGGTTCCCAGCCGAGAAGAGATAAATACTCTGGCTACTGGATCACGAGTAGCTGGGCAGAAACAAGTCACTATACGAGTGAAAAATGTTCACACAAATCTCCGTTTAGACACCTTTTGCGGGGCGCAATACCCTCAGTAGGTCAAGTGGTCACACCCAGCAAGAGGCGCATCGTCGTTGCGCATGTGCATCTCCAAAGTCTGGAAGAAATCGGCCGTTTCTCTGGTGACAAGGGGGGTGAGTACTCCAATGGTCCCCTGCAATCGACTCCATAGCAAAACATCCTGCCCACCAACAACTAAGCTCGTCTTGCAGATGCTTGTCGCTACATCTTGGACAAACATGTGTGCCATCAGTTGAAGCCTGTGAGCGGCGCCACGGGCTTATTTGAGACGCGATTGTAAACCACCATGGTCATGCCGTGTTGCAGGTCGCCAACAACAATTCGGAAGCCTGGGGATTGTAAGGGGACAGTATGCTGCGGCGAAATGTATATTTGTGCCCTTCGGAGCAATTGTCTCATGCCTACGTTGTAAATGCTCAGAATCTGCCGATTCCAGCGAGCAGTCGGCCTTGAAAGGACAGGAGTGCCGTAGGTGGCTCTTCGACCTTGGTCTTGTGGATGAATGGATGGATCTAAAGTGTTTTTTTCGGGCTCTATAGCACAAAAAGCTGATCCGGATGCTCGATGAGTTGTCGTGGAGTGTACGCAAGAGGCGCAACCTTTTCAATAAACGAATCTCGTAATTTTTCAACAGAGAAGACGCTGCGGGGTGGAATGATTAGCCTCTTTGTGTCAACACAGTCACTCCATTACTGATTCAACTCCAAATGGAGCATGACGGATACGATGCCTGGAGTAGTCAGACGTTGTGCACATGGAAAAACTTACTAGAGACGACCCCTGTTGATTCCAACGATGCCTTCCTCGCACTGTTCGCTTGTGAAATTCCATGCCCATGTTCATGGTATGAAAGAGGAGTGACTAAAAACCCGCCCATGACTGGGTTCATGTGTGCTATCCACAAAGTGGTGCTGAGCGCCAAGATACATTGCTGGTTGTGAAGTGCATAGCCGACATCAAGGGACACTACCGAGAAGTCGAGGATCCCGTGCTTACGAGCCCCCAGTGGTGATGATATAGTGAGGTCCGCCTCAGCGTTACGATCAAGGACATGAATCAGATTGTTCTTTTCGATAGAGGCAATCAGACAAGCGCGACCTTTTGGATCAGTGGCAAGATATTGACCTGGAACAACACGGCGTGCGCCTATACGAGAAAAAGAGTTCTTTGTCGGCGCGTACTCGACAGTGGCGATCCGGCCCGAATCGGTAGCAAGGATGATGTAGTCTAGTTACAAAACTGTATCAGTACCGTGCCATAACGCGCAAAAACATTGTTTGTAGCCGAAGCACTCACTCAATCACTAGGAAGTTGGGCAATATCAGCCAGCGTATCGTACCCTTTGAGCCACCAGCGAGGCGAAACGCAGCGATGGATCTGATGATACCAAAGACATTTTCAGACAAATGCTGCGTCGTGAGTCGTGACAGTGATCAAGTTCCTTTGTCCTGATGGTTGGATGTGGACGTGATCATGTTGCACTTATCGATAGACTACCTAGGTACCTAGGTAGGTAGCTAGACTGACTGCTTCATGCATGAGCATGAACGCCAGCCAACGGCGTCTTGTGCTCCTGCTGGTTTTAGCTTTGGCGTGCTTTCAAGCCACGTGCTCGCACCTCCCAGCCACAGCCACAGTTGAATGGCTCGGTGTGGCTGGGCTCTGCAATGGACGTGCGGTGAACATTGAACCCACATCCAACATGGCGAGCTGCTTGTCCGGATGAACAAATCGGTGACTGGAAAGTCGGTCATAGTACTCCGTACAGGATTGCCCAGAACGGTCAAATCAGCCGGCCACAACTGGTCGCAGACGAGTGAGCGAGAGCTGCACATGCATGTGCTAGTTGACGCGGCTTGACTTGCGCCTGTCTCGAGCATCAGACCACGCGTGGTCCAGAACGGTGAAGCATCATCACCTCGGACTGGCCTGGGACGTCAAGGCCTCGTTGAATTCTGCCGCCCGCTGGCCTCGCTCTCTCCTGGTGACACGATGAGCGCACATACCGGTCAAAGACGGACACGACGTTGAGAAAGGGTCTCGTCCATGCCATGCCGCCATGTCGGCCGCTCCAACAAGCACCTCTGCGCCTCCCCCGGCGCGAAAAGTCAAGTTCGTGGCGTCAGATCCCAGCCGTGGAGGATTGCCCGTCAAGCGCAAGCAAGTCCAGCAGGCCTGCGCAGCATGTCGGCGTAAGAAGGTTGGTCCGACTCTGGCCGTCTAGTTGCCTGTTTGAGCATTGACTAACCAATCGCGGCTTGTTGTGCGTGACAGCGACGATGCATCCATGCCGACGATGCTCATGCTCAGGAGGAATCCACCTCGGAGGAGCACCGAGGGCAGGACTCGTCGCCCTCGCAAGCCTCGTATGTCTGATTCCGATGCGTCTTGTCTCTTCCCTTTGCTGACTCGGGGCTCCAAGGCCGTCTACGGGCGCGTCGGTGGTTACACCACGCATGAGAACCGCCGCCGTGATGCATGAGAATGGCACCGTAAGCAACACATCACATACCGCGCTTGCTTTGCATACTAGTCAGCCTCCATACTCGGGCCACCGGGCCTCTGTTGCCATGCCATCGCAAACCGATCATCTCAAGCAGCAATCTTCCCGTTTTGTGGGCGACCTTAACCCCGAGGGCATGTTTCTGGAAGTCACCGATGCCGTTTCGGCCGGAGCCTCATCGCAAAAAGGAGATGTGGGCATCTGGCTGTCGTCTGGTGCATTTGGGGGCACCGGACAATCGTCTCAGTTCATTACCTCGCGACCTCCTCCGTTGATGGACCACTTCTTGCTGCCATTTGTTCGGGAACACTGCCTGTCCTGCCTCCCGCCGCCCGAGGACTTTGCACGCCTGAAGAATGTCTATATCCAAAAGGTCCATCCCATATTTCCAGTCATTCCCATCGCCGACATTGACAACAACCTCGACCACCCGTGCAGCATAGTACTGCGCCAACTGGTTTGCCTCGCCGCTGCTGCTGACCCAGAACTCACCGAGCATTACCGGCTACAGAACCGCGGGCCTGGTTTGCTGTCGCCCCAAGACTTTTCCCAGGCCCTGTCCTCGTCTGTGCGGGCCATACTGGAAACAAGCCTTATTACAGATCGAGTCATGCACATTCAGGCTTTGATCATGCTTTCTCTGTATACGCAGCCAACGTGTGCCGAGGAGTCTGACCTGCCCGCGCAACTGGGCGGCCGTGCCATTCACCATATACAGACTCTTGGCTTACACTTGCTACGATACGACGCGCCAAATTGCGACGACCTCGAAAACTTGTTTTGCTGTGTATGGGCCCTGGACCGCATTAACGCCGCCGAGTACGGCAGACCGTGTCTGATTCACGAGCGTGACATTGGCGCTGATTTGGAAGCTTGCATCAGAAAACGACCGCCGTGTTTCCGACTGTTTCTATCAGTTATTCAGTGGCTGGACCAAGTTGTTGAGCTGTACCGCCCAGGACCCAGCGCAGAGGCATCTGGTCTTGAAAAGATTGCATACATCGACCTCCCCGTCCTCGAGGCAATGATTGTCGATGCGGATGCGCTCAAGGTGCCATCCTCCCTCATTGGTCGGTATCCTCCTCCCCCTAGATTTCCATGCCGAGCCCATCTAACGCGCGCCATGATAGCGACCATCGAGACATTCTACCACGCCGTCATAATTCTGTCGTGCAGATTAGCCCGCCCTGGAACAGTGCATGCCGCCTCGACGCTACCGCCGCCGTCTGCCAACGCACGTCGGTCCCTTGCCGCTGAGCGAATCGCCTGTGCTGTTCCCCGAGATCACCTAAGCCCCATGCCGTTCATCCCGTATGCAGTTTCACTCGCTCTGAGCGTCGAGTACAGAAAGATGAGACACAGCCGGCTTGCCATGTTCCGAGCCAGGGCCATGAGCTCGTTCAAGCGGAACTGTGAAATGTTGCGAAAATACGGTGACCATTTCTGGAGCGCAAACGTAGTCGCCGGTCTAGGCGAACGAGTACTCAAGGAGATGGAGCGCGCTGCTACGAGCTTGACAACCAAGGACGCTGCTAGCCCTGTCCCGTTGGATGTCGGGTCCAGATCAACATCGGCCGGGGTGCAGTCCCAAAGTGTCCGGCAGACCCAGATGCTGCCTGGAAATACAGCCGGTATTACATCCGCCGTCGGCATGGACAATGCGGTCGACTTTTCACTGATCGACCCCATCTCGGGCCAGGACGTCTTTGGGCATATCGACCCCAGCTTCAACCTGGAAGCTGTGGATGATGTCTTGGAAGCAAACCTAGACATTGGCTTACCTCTGAATTGGGGAGATTGGGGCCAGTTTGCCATTAATTAGCACCTTGGTTTTATTTTATTCATTGTTTGCATAGAGTGATGATGATGGGACTGGTTGGTCTTTTTGGCAGGTGGTACAAGGAAAGAATTGTTCATGGCGCTCGGGCATGCATCGGTTGGGAGGAGTACTGTTTTTTTACTCGGGAGATGAATGTCAACTCGTAACAATATGAAGAGAGGGTAGTCCTTCCGGTTGGTAATGAGCTTCGCCGTCACGTCCCAGTCTCACCTTGTTGTGGCAAAGTCACTAATTCCCACTCGGTAGGGTGAAGATGAAGCATAACGAGCGACTAAGTAGTTGGTTATTGCATCTTTTTTATCTTTATCTATTCTACACAGTAATGACTGAACAAGGTTGCTGGCCAGCAAGGCCAAGCGCATCATCGAGACAACGCAGCTACACGTGCAGGTGCGAAAACAAGAATTCAAAATACGAGCAAAATAACGACGCTTTGGCAAGTGTCATCGGTCGAACCGGCCCTGATATTGGATCTTGCGTCTACTTTCTAGCTGTTTCTGCATTTCTATGTCATCATAGTCTAGCGTGTCGCGCAGCTTGTTGTCACTGGCGAACAGCGGACGAGGATTGGTAAAGGCATCATCTGCGGACACGGGCATCTCTGAGGGATCGAAAACGGGCCGGCTGAAGCGATTGTAGGCGATGATGGTGTCTTTGCCCCCGGCGACGGCATTGTTGGGCATCGGCTGGCGCAGAGACATGCGCCGCATCTCAACGGCGTCTTCTTTGATCGGCTTCACCCCCATGTACGTGTAGATGAGGTTGAGCGCCGGGATGGACAGGCCATGGACGACAATGGAAAACAGGACGAGCCAGTAGACGACAGGGCCGATGGCCCTGGCTAGGTTGGTCTCTTCCTCGTCGCCTTTGCCCAGCTCCGGGAACAGATGACGGCTGTGCTCGGCGTAGAAGACGGCCCCGGCGCCAATGGGCCCAAAGTATCCCATGAACAGGGCTTCTTTCCAGTCCTTGACGACTCCCGGCATGAGCTTGTACGTCAAGAGGATGGCGGGGATGCGGCGGAAGACGAGGACCATGAGGCCGAGGAGCATCAGGCGTCCGTAGGTGAGGCCGGTGCCGTCGGGGTCGTTGAACTCGCTCCAGGGCATGATGGCGCCAATGTACATGAAGCCGCCAAAGTTGAGGAGCACGTCGACGCACGAGTTGACCTCGTCGTGGCGGCGCTCTGTCTCGGCGAGGTAGTCCCCGTCCCAGTTGAGGGCGTTGCCGGCCACGAAACAGGCGAGGAGGTCGTCGGTCCCGATGGCGCCGCAGGTGCCGACGAGGAACATGCCGAGCGCGGTAGGGAAGAGGACGTACGACTCTCCGTCGATCCATTTGCTATTGGCAGTCGTACATGTTAGCACGGGACGTGGCGTCGCGGAGGAGGGCTGCTCACCGTCTCAGGGCAAACTTGATGCCCTTGCAGGCGGCAAAGCCTACAACGGCGCCGTATACAACCGACAGCAAGACAATGTACAGCCATGTCTCGACAAACCATTCCCTCATGGCAACACCGACACCGCCGCCTAATCGGCCCACCTCTTCGCTTCTCGCCAACAGCCTCCCCGCGGCTTCGGCTGTCGTTTCCCCGGCGCCGGGGATATCAGCATGCCGGATCAGGTACACCGCTAGCATGAGAAAGGGGAAGCCAAATCCGTCGTTGGCACCGGCTTCCGAGGAGATGATTTCTCGGAGGTCTCTGGCGACGAATTTGTCGGCAAAGGGGCCCTTGGCGATGGCCTGGGACAGGATGGGGTCCGTACAAGTGACGCAGGAGCCGATGACGAGGGCGGCGAGGAGGGTGACTTTGGGAACCGTCGCAAGCATGCAAACGGTTGTGCAGAGCCACATGATTGTCATGATGGGCAGCAGACACATGAGCATTTCCTTCCAGCGGGTAAGGTTGTACTTGGCCGGGAGTTGGTAGCCGGCGATTACCAGTTGGAGGCCGATCATTACTCTGGCCACGCCCTAATGTTCACTTGTCAGATAGATGCCGCGTTGGACCTTGGCTCAGTGGTGAAGTGCTCAGCATCAGTTTTCCTGTCCT